TCTGCGAAAGATTTACGGACCTTTACGCGTTTTCGATGGCGAATACCGCAGACGATTTAACGAATTAAAATTCAGCGGCTCCGCTGGCTTGGCCATGTTGTTCGAATGGACACCAAAGCTCCAGCTCTAAAAGTATTCAACTCGGAACCCGCTGGTGTTAGCAGAGAAATAGGGAGCCCCACTGCGATGGAAGTGGGGAAGGACTTGGCTTCACTTGGCATTTCCAATTGGCGTCGTTTGGCACAGAATAGAAACGACTGTGCTTTGTTGAACTCGACCAAAATCGCTTAGGCAGTTACAGCGCCAAATAAGAAGAAGAAGGAGTCTTGTCTATACAAATTTGCAATATTTACTACGTTTATGCGTTTGTTCATTTCACTAAATCATTCCATAATATGTATTTAATTGCTGTAACATACATTTAGGATCTTCCCTAGAAAGCAAATTTCGCATGCAAAAAAGTGTCTATGTTTTTGTGCCGTATACTTAAGGCGTCGTGACTTACCTAGAAACTTAGACGCGATCACTCAGCGTTTCACCTATTACCCTTTCTCTTTGTTTTGATTATCAGCACTTATATTTATACACGTAAAATTGCAAATGTTTAATTAGTTTTTACACCAAAATTTATTGATAGAAAATGACTATTAAAATAAATGTATTTACGCGTATCGAATTGTGATTGTTTTTATTGAATTTTCCGTCTTTATTTGAAAGTTTGTTTTTCGATTTATAGATGAATTACATTTATAGAAAAATTTGTAGCTGTGGGGCATATTTGTTGGGATTTTATTAAAAATTTAAATGGCAGCATGATTCTCTCACGGATCTCTTTGCACTTAGAAACTTGACTTAAAAATCAGAATTCTATAGTTCTTTAAGTTTCTAAGTGAAGTTGGTTTTTTGGGTAACTACATTCACGCACTGCTAATTTGCCAGATATACAATTTTCAAGTTAAGTCAAGTCTAAGTCCACACTTAAAATGTCCTGTTTTTTATCAAATTTTAGCAGATTTTTGTTTTGAAAGAAAAGGTTAAGCTTTCTGCCATTAGTAGTCGAAAATCGATAATGAAACATTTTTTCTAACATGCTGAGCAATATCTGGTGAGCTTACTTTCTTTCTTTTTAGTTTATTTGGTTAAAATCTAGTTTTGTATCTTCAGGAAAATGCCAAAAAAGTGCAAGTTCATACTACGCAGTAGATGATTTCAGGAGTTAAAATCTCTTCCAAAAGGCCTTTCGGAAAGTCATTCCTTACTCCTTCGTTTTTTGTACAGAGTGGCACAAATAGAAGGGCTTCTGCTTCCGCTAATCAAAGAAGAGCTTCCAGAAGGGCTTTTGTAGGACGTACTTCTGAAGGTCTTTGGAGGAAGTTCTTTTATGCTGTTTTTAGTTCATAAAAATCATACTTCTTCGAGGAATTTAAATATTTAAGGTTCAGATCAAATATGTTTTATTGTGACTTAAAATGCTTATTGAATGCTAAAAATATCAACAAATCCGTGTTCGTATGGAATAGTAGCTTATATCGGGAAGCTTGCTGTTGTCAACATTCGATGCTTGAGCTTTTCTGCTCTTTTTCCAGAATTCCAGGCCATTTGCTCAATTTATAAATACCACTATTGGTTATAATATCAGGGAATAAGTGTCCTGGTTGATGGGTTCAGGATTATGGCAGCCCTAAGCTAAAAGCATGGTGCGCCGCCGTGAGCGTCAATGCAAACGGCGCAAAAGCCTCGCTCGCCGCAAGGCTTAGTGAACTGCCCGCGGAGCCACAGAAAGTGCTCCAGACAGAAGCAGCGATGATAAGAAAATTGCCGCACCAACAGACAGTGGAGAAAACAACGGCGATAATTACCATTAGGGATTTTGCGAATGTGGAATGTGGAAGCAATTAGAATTTAGCATAATAGCGAGATCGATGTTTAAACAGCGCTTACAAGCCAAACCAAATAAGTCAGGTTTTTCTAAAACTTTTTAAAAAGAATTCTTCATTCTCATTCCTTTGGCTGTTTCAGAATTTGGGGAACCTGTAACGTCATCATCGTTTTTAATTTTAGGTTTTGTAATTCAGTTTTAATACTTTTTTCTGCGACTGGTTTGAAATTTGTGTTTATAGTGAGCTAACTATGTTGGTGGACATGGAAAATAAATAATTTTTTTCCATGAAGCAAAATTTTGAACAAAATTCTGTTTTCAAAGTCGTGGCTGCCAGCCGAATCGGATCAGAATATTGTTATTTTTTTGGAAAAGCACCGCGGTTTTTTTAAGCGTTTGAATCTCAGATAGTTACGTAATTCTTATCTAATTAAATTTCAGAGCTATAAGCTTTTTAATTATTTGAGCATCGATTCTCCTTTTAGCCAGACGTTGATAATTTCGCAAAGGGGCAGTTTTACCACAGAAGTTTTTAGCCAAGGATCGAATATATCCCTATAAAAAAAATATTGCCCAACAAGTAAACAAAATTACTGTCTTTAAAATTTTTGCTAAAAATAAATTCCCCAAAGAGCCTCATTTGAAATTATTGAAACGAATATATGTAACATAAAAAGCAAAACACGAAAATTTGGTTAAGAATTACAGTGCACACTTTCTTCTTTTGTATCCAGTAGTTTTTTAAGATTGGTCCAAAAAAATCTTAATAAAGAACGAGACCAATGCAGGTATTTAAAACACAGAAAAAAATATCATTAAAATTACTATGTTCTTTTTGACGCACTTCAAAGGTAAAGTACAAGTGGGAACCCATCGATAGCTGGGTTATATAGTATAGGAAATAATAGAGGGATTCATGAAACGTCGCAAAGTGGTTGCAAATGTCGCATTTCTTCGCAAAATTTGCCACCTTGCGACACAACTGATTACTTTTGTGTGGAAACTTTCTTGCGACAAAATTGCGGCCATAGTATTTGAGATGGCAATCATTGCAAAGTCAAAGTCGCGAAACACATGTTTTTTTATTGTTTTCAAATACTTCAAAAAAAGTACTTCAGTTAAATCTTCTTCGAAATATAATTGTAAACATTTTTATTTTTCTCTAACGCGCGGCATTTTAAAAAAATTTTACATTTGGGAGGTTCCATAGGAAAGAGGACCTCGGTGCAAAAATTATTTTCTTTATAAAACTAAGAAACGTGTGGATAAGACATTTGTAAAAATCTTGAATCAACCCAAAAATAACAAATTTAAGCTTGAAATGCATTTTTATTACCTTTTTTACGTTTTGAAATCAAGTTCTAAGTAAAGTTGTTTATTGAGTTTAAAGTAGGTTGTGTTGAATGCACTGTCAAATAATTTGCGATTCATAATTCAAGTGTTTGGTAAGAGAAATATATAGTAGAACCCATCTGCTTTTAATAAAACTGTGTTATATATTAAATTGTGTGACTGCTTTATCTATATTATGAGTTATTATTAAGCAGTATGGGTCTTGTCCCACCCGTGACAAAAAAGCTAAAAGTTGTTATATTTAATTACAGAAGTTGAGGTTTTGTTTCGTGTTTGTTACACAATGTTAAAATATCATTGCAAATATTTACCATAATTGCATTGTCGTTTCCACGTAGTTAGATAAGAATAATTCAACGGAGAAGTATGTCCCACCCGTGACAGCTATGTGTGGGACAGTTACCAGAGGTAGGTTTACAGGGCTGACAAGCTTTATTTGTTTGTTGAGGTGGACGCAGGGTAGGAGGGGGCATACGCGGACTCGTCCATTATCTATATACCCTTGTGGTCAGCTGATTAAGTTTAGTTACATTTTGACCAGTTTTGGTTTTTATTTTGTTAATCTAATGTTTGTAGTTTTTTTTAAAGTCTAGCACATTATCTAACCAGAACGACATAAATCTACATTTCAAACTTCTTACAAAAATTATAAAATATCAACAAACTTTAACAATTACACCCAAAAATGTTAAACTTTTTGTTCAGAATTTTGAGGTATGCAGTTTTGGAGTCCATTAAGTTTAAGTAGGTAAAAGTAAGAATTTCAAGATACTAGGAAATCGCGTTCATTTTTAATATTTTTTTTTGGCTGACGGCGCTAAGCATTTTCTTCTATATAAAAGACACCATCCAAAGATAAAACGTGAGTAAAATTTAACCCCTACTTGGCTTCTTATATTTTTTATTAACTAATCTTTATATATGGACCACACTAAAAGCTTCTTTTCATATAAAAAGTCATACGTGTCCTACCCGTGAGAAACGTTGTCCAACCCGGGTCAGAGGAATTTCGGATTTTTTTTTATAATGAAGCCATAATTTTTTTGTAGTTTTTGCTTTGTTTGTGCTCCTGGCTCTTGGTTTTATTATAAGACATCAAGTTCACACATGTGAAACAAATTCGCAGAGTTCCCGTCAAATATATCTGCTCCAAAAAGCAGGTTCTTTTTTTTTGTCCCACCCGTGACAGAAGAAACAAGTCAGATTTTTTCCATATAAAAGTAAGCCAGAATTTTTTTTCGTATTCTGTCATAACTCATATAATAGTTAATTCGCTGTAGCTTTATCAAAATGTAGAATTGTTGAGTACTTTATACTTAAATTTAAATAAGAAAGAAATTTTTTTCTGTACAAATGTCAAACCCGTGACGGTGGAATCGCCCATTTGCAATCCGGAGTTGCGATAGGTCGTTCATACAACTTTGTTCGCAGCATTGCCATCTCACCAAAAATGCCACTTTGCGACGTCTTATGAATCACACTAATATGTTTAAAGATATTTTTATCAAAGTTGATAAATATGATATTTGATCACTTTTGTTACACAAATACTCCCACGACCACAGGCAAAAATATTGGCTAAAATTTGTCATTTTCTTTGCCATATATACGTTTTATCCGTGCACTTGCACAACATTCGCATCCGCAAAAGCTCCGCATTGATTATTGCGAATGCGAAAGCGAATGCGAATGTTAAACTTAATGCGGGAGCTCCGCGGTTGCGAATGTGAATGCGAATATTCGCAACAACCCTGATTACCATAATGAAATGGAAGTGGGCATCGAGGCTAACGGTTCGAACAATGGAGCGGAAAATGGTAAGAACAACGGTGTGATCAACGGAGCCGGCAATGGCGATAACGATGGTGCGGACAATGAAAACGATGGTGGCAATGTGCGTCAAGATTCCGATGATTTGCTTCGTATTGGCAGTGGCCGGTTATGCAAAAGTGATTTGGTCGAGCTCCAACGGTGTGACATTGCCCAAGTCTGTGTTTTGGCGGCAGCAAATAATCCAAGCAACTGCGAAGGCAGGTGCAGCTGCAAAACTTTAAGAAGGTAAGCGAACTAGTAAAGACGATGAGCTATTTATCAGCACGGCCGAGTTGTAAGAGTATATAGTATACCTGCCCTAAGCATTACATAAGTTAAGTTATTGTAAACTAGGCATAAGGGGATTTGTGTCTATACCATTAGTGACAGAGTTGTAGTTCTAAAGCGTAACCGCCCAGGACACCATCTTGAAAATATTTAGCGGAATAAAGAAACATTCGATATTTGATAGCGGGAACGACGGAAGTGTTTTAGTAACCACTTAGTCTTCTGAATATTTCAAGATGTAACCAAAATTTACGTTTTTGGGATTTCATCAATTATTAAGCTTGGTAAGTGGAATATGTGTCGGCCGCTGTGGTGTAGTGGTAAGCAGTGCGCGCTTTCACTCATCAGCACCTGGGTTCAAACCCTGGTCAAAGCAACATCACAAAAAATGTAGAAGAAAGGTTTTTTCTTAACAGCGGTCGTCCCTCGGCAGGCAATGGCAAACCTCCGAGTGCATTTCTGCCATGAAAAACAGCTTCTCATAAAAATACAATCGCCGTTCGGAGTCGGCGTAAAACTGTAGGTCCCTCCGCTTTGTGTGAAAACCGATCATCATGAAATTTTGTACACTGCTATCATTTAGCCCAACTTAAAATATAGGATACATTTAATCTCGATTAGACAAGGGAGCGTGGCACCTCCCATACAAACGGAATATTTCATACTGAATTTCTCAGAAAATATTTTTGATAGATTTTTTTTTTTTTTTTTTTTTTTTTTTTTTTTT